TTTGACTTTACGCCCTGCTTTTTGCTGCTGTAGACATTGGAGGGCCGTGCTTAAAGAAAGCTCGAGTAACTGTTCCTGCCACGTGTGTGAGAAACCCAGATTGAATTCCATGAGAATCAGGTGTCAGCCCTGACTGTTGTGGATATTTGCGGAGTAAAAATTGGAGCAGTTATTCTCTCTCCATACCCCTCTCCACTTCCTTGAATCTGCCTTTCAAATCAGTAAATATGTATAAATAAATATATGTTCGGATTTAAATTAATTTTTAAAGTCAGATTTACAAAGAGAGGATGAGAGATCTTTCATCTGCCAATTGACTCGCCAAATGGCTGCAATGGTCAGAGCTTGGCTGACTCAAAGTCAGGAGGCAGAACTTTTTTCCAGGTCTTCCACGTTTGTGCAGGGGACCAAGGTGTGGAACCAATGTCTGCTGCTTTCTCAGACCATAAGTAGAAAGCTGAATTGAAAGTGGAACTGCCGGAACGGGAACTGCGAGTGGAAGCTTAGCCTAATGTTCCACAGTGTAGGCCCCACAGTAATTTTTAAAAGCTCAGCAGAACTCTCATTGTAATTTGAAAAAAAATCCACTTTAGCACTAATTATTTCAATGTGGGCTATACCTGTTAAAACATACACATTACCTAGCCAAGAACAGTGCGTTTGCCCTCGTGTTAGAAAGCATGGTTTCCTGTAGAGTCAAAATGTTTATTACAAAGGGGCCAAGGAAAGACTTAGTGATGTGTCTTTAGTGCAAAAATCTGTCTCCCTGTGCAGCTATTAGCAAAGATATTTATTAGGGAAGTAGCAAAGGATGAAGATGGGAAATGGTGGTTAGTTGGTGGAGAAAGGAGTGCTCGTGGTTCTTCTGCACAGGCACAGAACAATTATGGGCCTCATCATACGTGGCATATTCCAGAATGTTGACCTGTGACATACACATCAGGAGATTTTTGCCTAAAAATATGATCACTTCATCCAGAAATAGGTGGCAAATATTCCCTTTACTGCCCTGTGGTTTTAGCTGAGGTCAGTTAAGTTTTGTCTGTGAATCTCAACCAAGAGTTCCAAGTGCTCTGCAAAATAAGCTTATTATATTTGTTAGTTTCATATTTTTTACTGCTGTAGAGTATTATTTCACACTTGCACATATAAATGAACTTTGGCTTTTCTTCTGTTACTTGGTTTTGTTGTGTGCCAGCTAATTTGTAAGATTTAATATCAAGATCTGCATTGGAAAGGAAAAGTTTTTTTCTCAAAACAGAATTGTCTATAACTTTTCATTTTGCTAGTGCAACAATGCAACAATTCAGTAGATTTTGATCCTTCAATAATGTATTTTCTTTGCAGTGCCTGCAAACATAATTTAATTTTATCTACTGCATTAATTCTAAATCATGAGAGTTGAAAGGCACCATTCCTATCCTTATGACTAAAAGATAGTTAAATTCTGATAGCTTTTAGTGATTGGTTTAATGTTGCATGAATGGATCAGAAGAGCTGAAATGAGAACTGAATTGCTCTACTACTTGAATATCTAATGATTTGATATAGCCAGTCAAATAAAACTTGGATTTAGGGAAGGAAGCTGAGATGTTTTAGGGAAAGAGAGCTCCCTAGCGGATCATTATTTAATTATTAACAATTAAGACATAGACTAAGATCCCCTGCCCTCTCTTGATCTGTGTGTAGAAACAAAAAACACTAATAGAAATAGATATAGCACAACACTGCTAACTGTCAGGCCTCTGGACCTAATGTGATCCTCAAATATTGGCTAATTTAGATAATACATACTATAATTATAGAGGGGAAAAATCACACCCAGTTCCAAGAGAATTTCAAGCTGATTTAAAAAAAATATTTTTCATGAATTATTTATATTGTCTTCTGGGAAGAAATTTTATTCACTTGTTCTTTTCCATTTTGTTAGAGCAACATATTTTAAATAAGCCTGGGAAGCTAATCTATTGAGTTTCCCTGTGATAGAATGCTTGTAATTCATCATGTTACTCTGTTTATGATGTTTGTCAGCCTGATGAGCCATGTAAGAGTAATTACCATATCAATTTTATTTATTCAGTCTCCATTTATTTGAACCTTCTTGAATAAATTATTTTATTTACATTTGCTTCAAAAAGGACATCTAAAATACACTAAGAAAAACTCATGGTCCCTAATGTGCCTTAGAGATCCTTGGTCCATCTTTTCCTTTAATCCTGTTGCAAACTCTTACCCACTATGAGATTTTATATGAACTTTCCTAAGCTAATCTGGCACATTTGGAGGCAGGGAGAGATGAAGTGCCATGCAGGGTTCAGTTGTGGCTTTTATGCATTTGTGCAATGTAGAAGACTGTGAATGACTAGATTGGACACCAAGTATATCGACCAATCTCAAAACGCTCCACATCAGTACAGTCATATTTCACGGTGCCTGAATTCATTGTTTGTTTGTTTGTTTGTTTGTTTTTGCAACTTAATGACTGGTTCATTGTGGTGATTTGATTTGGTTGTGTTCTTGGTGCAACCATCTAAGAGTGTGAGAGACATTGTAGAAAATGATATACCGAAGTATGACACTTTGAGCTGCAAACACTTCAAATTAAAAGGAATTACAAAAACTTAAAGCTGCTTTGAGATTAAAGTCTCTCTGACCTCCCCCTGTTATTTCTATTTTTGCAATTGCAGGGAGGGATTCTCTGTGGAATTTCCTTATCTGCCTGGACAAATAGCTTCCCAAAGAGGTGGAGTCATCTTAAAGTTTTGTCCTTAAACCCACTAAATAAGGAAGACGTACACTAAGGTGTCTCCACCTATTTACACTCAGTCCATGACCTATCCTGATCTAGACTGCACCTGTACAATGCTACCCCTTTGGTGCCTCTGTGGCTCTGCTCCTCACCTGTCTTTAACTTGTTCTCTTCCTCAGAATCCATATTCATTTTGTTCTAGACCATTACCTGCTTTGGGAGTTCATCTGTTGCGCCGGAAGATCACTTCACCTTCTCCTAAAACTGGTCATGCCTACCATTCCTTTTCGTCTCCTCCGCTGAAGTAATATTTAAGGGTCAAATAGCTGTCGTTCTTTAAATTTCTCATTTTGTGCAGCTCCCTTGCACATGTGAAGATAAATAAATTTGTATGCTTTTCTGCTATTAATCTCTGCAATATGAGTTTATTTCTGAAGGCTCAAAATCTAAACCTTCAGGGGGAAAGTTTGAATTTCTCTGTAAGTGGATTAAGTGCTTTTCTAATATATTCTTTGTCTTCCTTTTGCTTTCATAAGTGAAACTCATCTTGCTTTCCATGACTGAGTTAATTTACTTTTTGATGAAAGTCTATTGTTACCTTATAACTTCTTATCATATTACCAGAGCAAAAGGGTACTTAAAAATTATTACTACTACTGAAAGAGAAAAATAGAATTAAAAGTGGGTGAATGCAATAGTTTTGTTCATATTGAATTTTTTTCATTGGAAAGAAAAATCTCTCAGTAGTGGAAGTGTTTCCCTCCTTACTTTTCCCCTTATGCATTGAAAGATTTATTAGATAATATAGGAAAAGATGATTATCTTTACTAACTTATATTGCCAACACATTTAAAATAAACTGTCATTTGCAGACACCAAGTATGCAACACTTAGAACGTTCTGAAAAGAACACTGGATTGTCAGGAGAAATGTGTTTGATTCAGGAAAGTTCTATGAATGCCTTCTGGATGGTATTATTTTAGCCAGTTAATTGTTCCTGCTGTAGGATTCTGATAGAGAAGAAAAAGTTCAAATGGAAGGGGAGACTTCATAGTATCTTGCTCATCACATTCTGTTAGGTGGTGGGTCCCTGAACTTGTCCTTTCTCATTGGGATTTGCTCTGTGACTCCTGTCGTTATTGGTACCTGTGCATGGTGGATTCTTCTTCCAAGGCAGGAAGGAAATATTTTTATATAAATCTTAGTGATATAATATCATATCTATAATATCTTCCCATAAAACACCTTTTCTGAGGTTGAGATTTTTTTTCTTGTGAGTTTTAGAGTCATTTAGAAATATATACATGGATTTTCAATATATCACCCATCTTTTGAAATTCAGTTTACTGTTTGGAAAGATAGGTGGAATATACCAAGTTATTATTCCACATACTTATTGCCCTTTTCCCACAGGATTATTATATCATTTTGCCCCATTAATGCTAGTGTATTTAACAACATGTGAGCAATGACTCTGATCACCTGTGAATAGGTTGTTAATTTGGCTGCCACAATCAATTAATATCCTATCACCATCAGACCAGATATATACAAACAAATTCAGTAAGGATGTTTTGTCTTGTAAGTTACTGGGATTTAGGAATATATATTAGCACAACAAAACTCAGTGAAAACTGATACTCCATAGCTGTGAGAATTGAGGAAAATTAAGGATGAACATGTTGTATGACAGTGACTTCTATGCTGATGTGCCTAGGCTGAAACAATAAGCTCTCGTTGTGGAGATTACCAAAAATAACATGCTTAAATACATTATGGAATAACAAGTCTTTGGGCTCCAGAATAAATATTTAGTTTCAGTTTCCTAAATTCAGCCAGTTCCTAATTCCCTGAAGTGAATGACTGCCTGATGGTTTTCCAGTTATTTCTTTTTGTTCTATGCCAAGGTTTAAGGCATTTGAGTGAGCCATGGGCCTGGTGTCATGGCTCAATGGCTAAATCCTCACCATTTAAGCATTGGAACCCTGTGTGGGTGCCAGTTTGTGTCTTCTCTGCTCCACTTCCTATCCAGCTTCCTACTTGTGGCCTGCAAAAGCAGTAGAGAATTGCTCAAAGCTGCAGGACCCTGCATCTGTGTGGGAAACCTGGAAGAAACTCCTGGTTCCTGGCTTCAGATTGGCTTAGCTCTGGCCTTTGCGACTACTGGGGGGAGTGAACCAGAGGACAGATCTTTCTGTTTCACCTTCTCTATATAAATCTGTTTCGCGTTTTGGCTTAGGTAGCTGTGCTGATGTGGTTCGAGATTCTGCCCGGAGTCGCCATCATGGCCGTGTGCTTGAGCATCCCTGGAATGGCCACTGCATACATTCACAAGTTCAGTAATGGCCGCAAGGAAAAAAGGATTGCTCATTTGCGTTATCATTGGAGTTTGCTGGAAAGAGATAGACGCATCTCTGGAGTTAATAGTTACTATGTGGCAAAGGGTTTGGAGAACATTGATTAAAGAAGCATTTTCCTGAATGATGGAAAAAAAAAAAGAAATGCAATTACAATCATCTACCCCTGTTAGAAGGCTGTGTAATGTATTATGTAACATGCAATGTGTTATATAGTGCTTAATAAACATAAATTGAAAAAAAAATGTTTCTAATAAAAATAAAGAAGTTTTAAAAAAGAAGAAAGTGGGTCTTGGTGCCTGTGCTCCACAACATGTGTAAGAGGAATAAATACACTGGTCTGAAGAAAAAATAATTTGCTGTTCTTCCCTCTAACATGACTGATTTGTGTGTAACTGACTCACTTTTGTTTCCTATTTTTTTAGAAAAGAGTGTAACCAGCCTTTGTAAATATCAGATCTATGGATAAAACAATCCTAATTAAATGGGAGAAGAGATTTCTTCTTCACGATAACAGGAGCATACTCATTAAACTCTCAATTTAAGCACAAACTTGAGTAGTTTCACTTGTGATTGAACCCAGGTTAAGCTTGTTATAAACACTGAGGTGTGCTTCCAAAGACATTTATAATAACGTTATAATAAGTTACAACGGCCTTTATCCCCTTGTCTGGAGAGACTGATTTTGAGACACTGGAACTGGCCCGTTAGTGTGTTTCTTCTCTTTGTAATGGAAAGAACATTGATTGCAATGGTCAGCATCTCAACTACACTAAGTAGAACTAATGTGACATTCTATTGATTATCATTAAAAAACATTTGATTTTAAGTGGCAAAGTCATTTCACAAAATAAAGTTATTTCAGCGATGGCTAACTATGTTCAGTTTGCAATGTATCAACATGTGTGCCTTTCTTTTTCCCTTAAGTCTTCTTAGTATCAGTTTTCCTCTCAAACAGATTTTCATCATGGTGTCCAGGAACATGTTTATAGGCAGTTCCAAAAGTCATCTGGCCATACAACATTGGAATCCAGAGAAGACAACTTCCCTTTTTCACAATAGCCAAAGTTCAAGAGACTCTGATTAAGTCATCTTGGATCATGTCTAGGTTTCTGTAATTGCCACAGTTTTGGTAATGTGATAACAATCTCAGACTACGTAAAATGGAATAGGATTTTGTTGATAGAGAAAAGGGAAAGAAAAAAAATAACAGAGAAACAGCTAACTCTGTGCTAGCTCTGTTGCCAAACAACACTCCAGATGTGTTTGTAGATCACCACGTTTTCTCTGATTGCTTGAGGTATTGCATTTGGAGAAGTAAATGACTTCTTATATTCAATGGTTAGAACCCTGTAGGAACAGCTGTATGGCTCCCTCAAGTCAGTGAATTGCTTTTGATAAAGGACACATAAGGAGAGCTTGGACAAAGCCCCGCTTTAGAATTACAGGGATTCATTTTCAGTTCTGAGCACTGCTCAGGTCCCCTTACAGTGGAAAATCTCTTATCTCCGTGGAATATGAAACTGAACTGCAGCTCCACATTGTCCTGCACTTCATGTTTTCTCTGAAAGCTAGGTAGTTGAGTTATTTGAGCAACTCTACATAGCTAAATGCTTCCTTCTTCAATATCACACTCCATTAATCCAGGCAGTTTTATTACTGACCAGAGTAGAAGCAACCATTACATCCAATCAGAGAAAAAATAGAATGTATAGCTAATCAGAGGTTGAAGTGTGTCTTTCAGTCTGGTATTGCAGGGCAAAGAACCTAATTATAATAGAATGAGACTCATTGTAAGTAGTGTAAGAACTGTAGACACTGCATAAAGCAAGGAGCATAATGTTCTCTAGTTGGGACCATTTGTTGCAAATGGTAGCTTTTCATTATTTTTAGTGGTAAGTAGTATTCCATGGAGTACATGTATCACAGTTTTTATATCTGCTCCTTTTTTGATGGGAATCTGGCACGGAGAGGGATTAGGGGAACCTCAGAGCCTATGAAACAATGTCATAAAAAAAGAAAAACTTAAATATAATTATAATTATCAAAACTTAAGCTTTGGGGAATATTGTGTTAACCTGGTGGTGCTGACAGAAAAATGAGAATTATTGTAATATATTCTTGATTTATATTCTACATTTGACACTATCTACTCTCAATTTTTTGTAGATAACACAGAAATTTAAGTACAATTAACTTGTTGAAGCTTTACAATTTATATATATCTCTTCTTGGATTTTGGCTAAGATTATGTGTACAAATTTATATTTATTTCACCCAGTTCATATGTTTTACAAATACTATATGTTTAACTGCTATTTTTTACCACACTGCATTATATGTGATTAAATATGATAAACTAATTCATAAAGGGCAAATTCTTTAGTTATAGCAAATGAAAGGATAAGCATAATTAAAATAAGTATAATATTTGTATACTAAATGTATACAATGTATAAGTATAATAAATGTAAAAAAAGTTATTTTTCTTATTAATCTTCTCACTGACTCATAGGTCACACAATGGCATTGTTTGCTTTAGGAAGGTCTTTGATTTTCATTTTTTCAGCATCATATTGGTCATTCAGTAGCATGTTACTTCATGCTGTATTTTTTTTTATTTTCCTCTCTGTTGTTGATTTTGTTTTATGGCTTTTCATTTAATGGGATGTATAGTTACTGTGTAGTAGAGACTATCACATACCTATGCAAAGATACAGTGCAGTGTGTATCTTTACCTTCAAATCAAAGATGGACTCCCAATGAAACTGTTGAATGTGTCGTGACAATAGGATGTTAGACTCGGCCAATTCATGCCAACAAAGTCAGGATGCACTTAAATACTTGATAGATCGACTTATTGCCTATTATGAGGGACTATACTATTATAATTATATAGGGGAGACAAGTGGGAGAACAGGGAGTTGACGGGGGAAGGAAAATTCCAGATCCTATAGAACTGTATTATGGAATAATAAAATAAAAAGAAAAAAAAAGAAAGCAAATGGGATTTCTTCTAGAGAATTATTCCTGCAATCTGTTGTCTGTTTTGTTAACTTGGAGCTGAGAATAGATGTGCTACTAAATCTGTTGTAAATTTTGTTGTATTTTTATATTATCCCATATTCAGGATGCTATCTCATCATTTAGATATTGACATGTCCTCATCGTTATACAGTTTGTGCTGGATCAGCTCAATGTATTTTGCTTGTTTGATAATTGCTTTAGTACATTCTCTCAGATCTTGTTTTATCATAACTATTTCTGTAGAACCACCTTTATTGCTCCCATGTTCTTCTTTAATTTTCTATTTCAGCTCTTAAATGAACTGTCCTGCTTAAACACATCATGCCCATGCTGCCTGCTTTTGCTCATGCTAATTCCTTCCACCACTCTGTCGTGTTCCAATACGTTCAACTAATAGGCTATGTTTTTTGTTCATTATAAACCTCACTTCGTTTTATTACTATAATTAGAATTCAAATTTGCGATAGAATTATCCAGTGCTTCGTTTATATTCTCCCAAATAATGGAAATATTTTTGTTTGCTGAATCTAAATAAACAAGAAACACCATAAATGAATACAATGTGAACAGATGTATTTTGCCTTATTATTTACTTAGATTTTCTTAATAAACGATTGTGAGGTTTTTGTTTTGATTTATTTAAGGGATGAATAGGAAAGAGAGACAGACAGACATATGTTCCACCTTCTTGTTTGCTCCTCAAGTACTGGCGACAGATGTTGCTGGGCTGACCCAGTGCCCAGGGATGCAAGTGGATCTCAGGCCAACACTGCTGCTTCATAAGACTGCACCAGCAGGAAACCAGAATCAGGAGCTAGAGCCACAGTGACGCACAGTGCCTTGGTGCTGCAGGATGCAGACTTATTAACTGCTAGGGGCAAGGCCCACTCCTCTAAGTAAGAACCATATTAATATTCAAGATGGTAATACGATAAGTGTACCCCTTACTACTGAGAAGAAGTGAGTTGAATTAATGTAGATTTTCCTCTTCATATTGGAAAAGACTCTACTTCCTGCTTTCATCTACCATGGAGCAGTTTGAACCCTATTGCTTAGTTCCTTGTTATTGTAGATAAAAAATGCTTTTTTTATGTGGCAATCTTTTGCTTTTAGCGGGGAAGCTATGAGCCTACGCATTTTCATTTCCTTTTATATGTAATTTTTGCTATATCCAGTAGCATATGATGTCCTTTTATTTAGATATCAGATTATCCTACAGAATCCAAAAGCCTAGGAGTATAATTATGTTTGATATTGTTATAAATTTCCTAGAAATGGGCTGCATTTCAAAAAATGTGAGAATAAGATTCATTTGATTAGTAGATATTTAATGCCCTGTGAGTTGCAGCATAGATTTTTGGAGAACATGTATAATAAACTAACCTGTAATGTAAATAAACCAATTTCAGCAGGAATCAATTGTCTCTACTAATATTCAGACTCATTTTTCCCTTAACTAGGTCATGTGTTTCCTTCTTTGTCATCTCTTCATGTTTCTGTCAACTGTTTCCCAAGTTCTGGCTCCTCCTAATCAGTCACTGAAACTTTTGGAATTTCCACGTTCCTGTGAGAGCAGTAGGCCAAAGCAAAGAGTGGGCTACTCCCCTCTGTGGGGCAATCATCCTGGACACAGAACAACTACTGTAACAGATGCACTAAGGGTTGGCTAACCCACAAGGCAATGCTCTTTCTCTACATGCAAGTGAGCAACATGGTAACTTTGACTCCTCAGGAACTCCTTTAGACTATGTGAATGTCTCAGGCAGAGAGTCCCAAGGAAAACTTGAGCAATTCAGAATAATCCCATGTGGTTCAGAATGTGTTTATTGTCCATACAGAGTTGCCCTTTCCTTGGATAAAATACAACCGCACTCCCCTGAGACCCCTGGATACACACCCATGCCAGAAAGGGATACCACACACAAGTATTTTACACAGCTCCCAAAATTGCAAGATTAGATTGCCAAGGAAAGCATTTGTCAAGTAAAAATTGCATCTAGAAGAAAAAATAGAGGTAAAATCTAGAAGTAAAAATTGCATCTAGAAGAAAAATATGTATATTAGCCAACTGAGGGAGGTCAAAGACCAATGTAGGGTTTAAGACCTTTTTCTCTTCAAAAAGTTAAAGTTTCCTAAAAAAAGAAAGAAAAATTAAAAATGCATCATATTAACATAAGAAAATTACATGCAGATTTATTATTGTTAT